ATAAGGACGAAACAACGTTCATAGCAATGCAAAGTTGAAAGAACGATAAAACAATGAGGAAAAATAAATGTGACATTCATGCTCCCGTGTTGCCTGTGCTCAAAATATAATATAATGTCAAGTTTTTATCTCGAATGTTTACACTCAGTAAACATGTCAATCTCATCAACAAAATATTAACTATGGACTGTAGCTTTATTCGCACCTCATTGACTTTCATATCTAACCATGGACAAAATGTCAAATGTTATTCTAAGCCTCATATCAGAAATGTTGGCTTATAAGAAAGCAAATGGAGGGAAGTGACCTCTTGCAAGCAAAGATACAAAACCTAACATAAAAACACCACAACTACAAGGATCCTCTTGAGCAGGAATCCCATTCACTGATGTATCAAAGAAGGATGAAGGCCCGTCCACATAATATCTTTCGGGAAGATTGTGTCGATGAAACTCCGCTTCGGAAAAATCTTCTAAACGTTCAAGGACTGAAACATAGTCTGCACGAGGGAGAGAGTCTATGAGGTGGAATTTACAGTTAGGACCGTCTATGCTGACATAAGCTAACGCCCTGTGATTTCCAAAATGAAGAGGGATAATCACTAAGTCATAATCAAAAAAAATTGTTTCTCTCACCCATTTCATCCTTCGGAATATACGGTTTCAAACCTCGAAGGACCTGACAATCGAGTGAAGAAAAATGAATTGAAAATGTACACAAAAGGAACCCTATCTCTTGTCACTTCTGTACATGCCGAATCAACCTTGATGTGATCATTGGTGATCTGGACGGCTAGCAGGTATAAATTGACGACTTCGTCATTTAGCCATTTTCCATCCTCGACGACGACCATAATGTCTTCCTTTCCCACCTTCCAGCTCCTCTTGTAATCGACAATGCCGTATGCTTCATTGTCTTCGTTGCTGCCTGTAATCATGTTAAGATACTCATTTTCTTCTATGGTGAGGCGATTTGTTCCTAAAGGAATCTGGAACGAAGGGTCATGCATTGTATACAAACACACATATAACCTTCGCGATGCAATTTCTTCCCTTCCGTGAGGCTTATTCCGACAACTTTAAACATCCTTAGGGCAACTGGCTTCATAGATGGAAATGTCATGGGTGTAAGTCTTCTTCTCTCTTTTTTGGGCAATAACGGCAAAGTCGATAAGGCTTGCAAGCCACCACGAATAATATTCTTCTCACTCTGCCTTTGCGAATGTACATGCGTCGTTTTCCACAGTTCTTTTCGTCGCCCTGCATGTTCCGCAATATAAAACGACAATGATTGACGAGACAAAACATTATGAGTTTAAGTTCAATTTTTCACATAATTGCAAATAAGAGATACACAATATTTTACTTCATTTCTTCTCATGACCGAGCGCACGGTTGCAAACTTAGACAAAAAATTAGTTCCTATGGGATGAGTGCATGTACCCCCTAAGTATTAGATATTCCCTTAAAGATAAGTACGTGCTCACCTCGGTGGCTCACTAACACTTTGTCTTCAACACGATCTTCTGTCGCACCATGCGATGGTGTAAAAAGAGATTCGTCGATAGATATCACGAGGTTAACAGACTGTTGTGCTTCTGATTTTGCAACCATAAGTTCAGGATGTACAAGCGTATGTTGCTCCCGTGTACTTAGTACTATATGTCCTTCATCCTTTTCAATGGCCTGTACATTGGCAGTTTCGTTTGCACCTGCAGTCGCGCTTTCATTCTTCATGTCCAAAGAGACTTCATGTTCATCTTTCTCAGTTGGCATATCCAATGGCATCTCTAATTCTGCAAGTGCACCAGTATTATCCACTTGCGCAGTAACACTCTCGCTCTTCAACACAGTGGTCGCCCAAACTTGGTCATCCGGAAGGACATCCTCGACACATTTCGACAGTTCTCCATGACTTACGCCCTTGACGCTTGCACCGCCGCTTCCTCCCAAATCCTGGCCACTTGCATCGCCTCTCGATCCCCTGCCATGTGCACTGCCGCTTGGTCCTAATCCCAGAGGCCAACCCGATCCCCTGCAATGTGCACCGCTCCTTGGTTCTAATCCCATAGGCGAACCCGATCCCTTGTCATGTGCACCGCCGCTTGGTCCTGATACCTTTCCCTCTGTTGCTTGACGCCCTTGACGCATTTCGTGTTTTTGCAGTTCACCATGACTTATTGGCTTTCCACTTGCACCGACGCTCGGTCCCAGGCCTTTGCCACTGGCACCGCCCCGTGGTTCCGATCCCTTGCCATGTTCACCACCACTTGATTTTGTTCCCTTGCCAAGCGCACCGCCGCCTGGTCCTGATCCCTTGCCACTCTCATCGCCGCTCGCTCCTTTCCTTTCCCCAACTTTATCGTCAAGTTCCTCTTCGATACGCCAATTATATCCAAAAGCTGGACTTGTTTCTCGATCATAGAACTCTTCCATATACTCAAGCCATCGAGATGTTTTGAACTCCACAAAGATTTTTTCTGTCCTTGCATCCAGTCTTGATTGAGAAACCTTCGGATTAAGTGGCAGTAGTCGCTTGCCAATCTCATTTTTGGCGTGCGCGACAAACTTGGATCGTGACATGCGTCTGTGGAGGCAAAACTGTCACCCCCCTTCTTCTTTTATAGCCATTACCCAGTTCCCTCTCGCCAATGCAGGTTGGAAGTGGTGGGGGTGCCATATAATGTGATGACCCCATACGTTGTCAGGCGTCACCGTATAATCGTCCCGACACACAATAGGTCCAGGAAGCCGTGCAATGTCCGAAGGGATGATGTCTTCAATCTCGTACTCCAAAGACTCAGACGGAGGTGGTTGAGGAGTTTGAGAGCGTAGCAATTCCAAAACAGTAGTCGGGCTATGTGCAAGTGCTGACAGACTTGCCATAACCTCTGGGGAGAGAATTTCTTGCAGCCTCGGATCATCCCGAACTGCGCCGAAAGATAGCGTTGTTGTGTTGCCCGCTATGTAACTGGTCCGTTGAAATTGGTCCGTTGTAACTGCCATACTCGAAGCCCCCCCAGAACCGGACGATGTGCTCGGCGCACCCATCTTCTGCGAAGCCGAGCTACAAGCTTTTTGCCTCTCATCTGCCAAGGCCGCTTGCAAAGTACCATCTTCACTTTCTTCCTCTGAGTCCTCAGCATCGAAGCCTTCCCCAAAACAAGTTGCATAAGCTGCGATTGTAAACGCCCCGATTTGTTCGTCGAAGTACATCATCTCCAAACGGTCTAGAAATGCAACTTTCGTCTCCGCCGGTGCCTTATGATACCCCTTCAAAAGTGATTCAATTTTTCGCCTTCTGACGACATATGCACGTTCCCCTCTGTTTTCTGGCTTAGTCTCGAAAAAGAACTCCTAAATGTTGACGATGTTTTCGCCAACTTTGTAGACGAGATCACGCTTTTCATCATGTCGAGGAGGCGGCTTAACAAATTTGGCGAGGTAAAGTCCACTCTTGACCATCTTGGTGACGAATTGAACGAGAAACTCGAACTTCATACCCTCCCCTTCCAGAACAATGCAATGACGGTGACTCTTTAACAACTCCCAAATGAACGCCGCATGACCTTTTACCAGGAAAACAACCGCGTCATCTGCAGGACAAAAATGCTCCAATGTCTCCACTATCTCATTTGGCTCCCTTTTCATACCTTTGTACACCAATTTCTCCCTTGGCTCCATACCTGCCATTTTCAACTTCGTGGGCGTGAAGTTCTTCTCCACGACATCAGCCAACATCTTTAGCCTTCTCTCTCTGCGCACAAGTGTTGATAAGTCACCCGCCTGCTCGCCAGATGATCGATCTGCAGCTGGAGTGCTTGTTGGAATATCTTCAAGCAAGGGAATAATGTTGCGGTGATAATCCCCATCGTTGGAGTACATGATGACGGTCATTCTGTCTGTGTCCTCCAAAGGTAAGTTCGCAACCTTATATAAATGCTTCGCCTTCGTTTGTAGCTGACGAGTTCACTTTAGAATAGACAAGTGAATGTCAATCTCCCAACTTGTAACTCGCTTGAAAAATGTATACTCGCAAGACCACGGAACGAAGCACAATAATGTCCACTAATCACCAGCCTGTTTTCCCATGAACTTCCGCAGACCATCAAAGACTTCTTCAGTCCACACCCCTATCTGGGTTGGGTGACATAAATCCAGCACGGCCGTGTGGCAACTCCAATGTTTGACGACTCTATATATTTCCTTGGAATCCATCTCGTTTGAAATATCGCTTGGTTCTCGTTGGAATGGGACGAAAACAGAGTTCACGTTCTGTCTTTTGAAATGTATATATTGCGTCGAGCCCGACATTCTTATGCTTTCCGAACCCCTGGTTTCTGATCTGCACAGCAGCTTGTTGACAAACTGCATGAACTCTTCGGGGCACTTCACAGCAAGTGACGCTGTTTTCTTGAAGCCCTCTTCTCCTTTTTCCTCCTCTCCTCCAAGTGTAGCCGGGAACGTTCACACCCAACTCATCTCTTTGAAATGGCGACGCTGGTCGATCCACCTCTCGGACGTCAATCCTTCATCAGAGTACTTATCAAACAAATCGGAAAGGTTGTTGAAGAATGGTTCCGTCCACTCTGATGACTTCCTGTGAGGGTCAGAAATGAAGACAAAGTAGTTAAACATCCTCAACATTGCTCTTCCAATCTTCACCATTTCCACATATGTTTCCGTTGAATGTTTCCCGGCACGTTCAGCAGCTCCACTTCGCTTAGGAGTCAGTATCACACTGCTTGTGAGAATGTCTCGCAACATATGCAGCCGCTCACGCCTCCCAAGCATTGAAAACGACTTCCACGCTCTGATATCCAGATCGTGCACAACCATGAGGTAACCAGGTCCTTTGGTATCCTGAACCCAGTGAACCGGATACGTAACTCCACCTTTCAACTTAAATCCGGGTCCGGCCCTCGGTGCCTTCCCTGATTCACCTTGTTTGGTAGCAGGCTTCACAACATCTCTCCCCGACAATTGTCCAGCTTCCCAAGCGGCGTACACTTGTTTCACCTTTTCAAAAACGTCATTTGTCGCCCTTGCCAACAACATGTAGGGCCCGAGGGCATCAGACCACTGGCCGCTCCCCTGAGTAGTAAGGGACATGTCAATCAAATTACGAATCCCGATCAAACGAAGAGCCTCTCCCGCAAACTTTCTATACTCTGCATTTTTCACTTCTGCCGCTGAGCCGCTTTTAGCTTAAGGACAGTTCGACTCGTGCCCCAACTTCCGTATATTCTGGACGACCACGTTCTAGTGCGGTGGGGTATTCCATTTGTCCTTGGAGTTCTGGAAAGTGCTCAGCGTGCCGTAATTGTCCATGCTCTCATCCGGATAATAAACAGGCCTCGCAGTTCAACGATCCAATCGGAGCTCTTGTGCGATGTCAGGACGTTCAACAAAACACCTTCTTGCCGCTGCCACGTTATGTTGACCGCTGAGAGGGTAGTAGTAGTACTTGTTCACATATTCGAGATCGAAATCATCGGGCAGCACCCTCCTTGCTCTCACAACCCTCCCTGAAGCGTCAGTATGCAATGTATCACGGAGGGCAACCAACAACAGGACAGGCTTCTCATACAACGTACAGACATTCACACCGGCAGCTCTAGTCATTCTCTCTCTCATAGCAGCCTCACTCGATGCAATCATTGCGTCATAAATGTCGTCAACCGTCTGTTGCACAAGATAGCGTTGATTGTATCTAAATTCCCCGTCCGGGATATCCAGAATTTTGTCGAACTGGACATAAATGAATTCCATGTCTAGACATTGGTTCCCATGCTCGTCCAACTCAAGGAAAAAGCCTTTGCTAAGAACACCAGAAGAAGTCACTGATGGCACATTTCGCAAACTTGGCGGCCTAGTAACTGTCTTGCCTTTGGCCTCTTCATCCGATTGTGGTTGTTCCGCTGGAAAAACCGAAGTCTTTTCCATAACATCACCTTTTGCCTGTCTTTTCTTTGGCTGCTGCTTTTTCTCCGCGGCTGCCCTTGTCTCCCGCGTTCGCTGGACCGCCTCATCCATGGGCATTATTTTCAATCGTCTTTTTTCACCTGCTTCTTGCCTACTCCATTTGTTATCCATAAGACTTTTCCTCTTCCGCCTGTGCTTCCTCTTTCGCTCAGCGAGCCTTGCAGCATCTATATGCCCAGCCACAACCACTGTCTCGTGCACATCCCCCTCATATCCTTCGTAGCTGCTCCCATATCCTTCTGTCGGACCAACCTCCCCACCCGATGCGCTCACAGTGTGTTCACTGTCTTCATCCTGTCCAACCACTTTACTTGTCTCTCCTGGATGCCTTGTCATGCCTCCGACACCCGCAGCATACTGTTCCTGTCCTCCTACTCGTTCCGAATATTCCTCGCTGTTCTCTTCATCCTCATCTTCAAAATACTCATGGACTTCCTCTACGCGGCCCGGCACATTGTAGTCATAGCGCTGTTAGCCCACAAAGGGGAGATGTCCCTTGGTGGCCACATCATAGTGCGATCGACTGCCCTAGGCAACTGGTGTTTTGGTCGTCGTTGACCTGGTCTTCATAGGGGCTGACGGTACGACCAGTCCGCGATACAGACCCTTCTCTCCTATCTGCCCAGCTTTCGGACCAAGCGGCGTATCGCGGATCGTGATCGAAGGCCCTGTCTCCACGGTTCTCGAAAGCACGCATTTAGGCGCTGATATGCGGTCCTCTGGATGCACAACCGGCTCTCTGCCCGCGATCACATGACTGTCGAAAAATCCGAGGACGTCAACGAGGTTAGGCAACTTCACTTCGCATGTCCCTGGTGGGTTGAACACATCAACCAGCGACTTTCCAAACCCCGCGTGTTTAGCCCATTGAAGAGCGACGTGTTTAATGTTTGGTATTCTTTCCCCTCTTCCATTCAGGACCATCGTCAACTCGAAAGTTGCAAACGACACATTTTGCCCAGTCCACCTCACTAGGCCACCAACCGACACAATATTTTCTTTGATGACCACGTATAGAACAAGGCCACTCGATGGTTGTCCGGTCTCCCCCACCAAGTCCAGTATCCAGAACTTGTCCTTGTGGTCAATCACGGGGACATTGTCTTGCCGACCCGAGGCAGTCGTTTCACCAGACGGTTTACGTTCGCCAGACGGTTTACGTTCTCCAGACGGTTTGCGTCCGGGCATAACCTCCACTGCAGATCTCCCCTGCTGTGGACCAGGCACACGTTCCTGACCCGCGGGCCCGCCAGTCATCAACACAGCCTTATCCGGTCCAGAGCCCCGAACACGAGTGGACGGAGTGCCCGTGGAAGGTGCACCCCTCGAAACCGGGGTGCGTTGCCGCTTAGACCCCGGTGCCTCCAGACTCCCAACCCCAGCGGTCGGCGTCCCCTTCGATTTTTTCGGAGATTGTTCCATGCTCCCTGAATTCTTACTTGCTCGTCGTTTACTTGCCTTCCCCTCTCCTTCCATGTTTTGTAGCGCTGCCTAATCTGAAAGCAACAAAGCACAT